TGGGGCTTCGTCTGACATACTTTGGGCATGTTGCAAGGAGGGACAGGTCCGTGGAGAGGGACATCATGCTTGGGAAGGTGGAAGGACGGCGCAAGAGGGGAAGACCCTCTATGAGATGGATTGATTCAGTGACTGGGGTAATCAGGATGGGTGTGTCAGAAGCAGTGCTATTGACACAGGATAGAGCAGGGTTTAGGGCTGTTGTACATAGGGTCGCTATGAGTCGCAAACGACTTAACGGCACATAACAACAACAACATTTGCCTAAATGGAAGCAGGACTTTATGGGAGATTAACTATTTGATTTGCTGAATGAGTTATCATTATAATTATTTAAATTAACGTGGCATTACTGGTCATTAAAGATATAAAATGTGAAACTTCTTTTATTTTTTTGATTACTTTATGAGAAAAATAAAATCCTGCCAGACAGATTCTAAAAAAAAAAAATTCTAGATTTTTCTTCTTAATTGAGAGTATTACAAAATTCAGGATACCGATACACTTGCTTTGTAATTTATCACCTGAATAAATAAATATTAAACTATCATGTTAAATATTTCTTGGCTTATGCTTGAAAGGTTGGAGGGTCATAAAGGGAGAGTGAGAGACCATGGATGAGATGGATTGATATAGTGACTGAGACAATGAGGTTAGGTGTGTTGGAGACAATAATTTTGGCACAGGATGGAGCAGGTGTCAGGGCTGTTGTACACAGGGCCACTATGAGTCGTAAGCAGTACATAACAACAACAACAACAATATTTGTAACAATATTTTGGATACCTTTGTCTTTGTTCAAAAATGCAAATATGTTGGCTCATAATTCTGAAAAATGCTGCAGTTTAACATGGTTACATAATCTTACTAGAAAAGTGTTTTCTATAAATTACTTAAAATGAAGACTTAAAAGCCACTTGTGTTTTGCTCTAAAAGAATACAGAAAATAAAATCCTTTTAATAGAAAGTAGTGTTCTGATTTTGTTTTTGAAGACCATTTGATACTATCTTTTATTTCTAAGTTGAGAAACATTATTTTACTAATCTTAAAGTAAATTAATAATTTGTACTGTTTTCATTTAGTTGATATGATCAATTGGCACATTATATTAATCATAAGAATCAGAATCCATTTATGATAAAGAGATTAACATATAAGTCATTCTTATAAGAAAATAAACCGTTTAATTACAGACAATGTAGAAAGCTAGTGTAGATCAAAAGCTAAGCAGAATTTATGTGTATAAATTTTCAGAGAGGACAAAATTTTAATTGAGTGAAAGAACTGAGAATTCCCATGACATCACATTGTGGATGTTTTTTGCTAAGATCTTGATGTCTTTCTTCTGATTTGAAAGAACTCAGCAGTTTTACCTCATTAACACCTTTTACTCATGTCTGTCCAGTGGCAGCTAGAATTTTGTTAGAGCCACCTGAGGTACGTGATTTATTTGTATCCCTAGCATTTTCACATTTTTTTCCCACATATTTGTGAGTTTAACATAATTAAGAAATAATTTTCTACTTAATCTGTTGTCTAAGGCAATGAGTTCCTAAGTAGTTTACTAGTATCCATACTACTTAATGAAAAAATAAATTCTGAATTTGTACAGGTCAATATGCTTGAACTCTTCTGTGATTAAGGGTTTAAGATCATAATACATGTAGTTTTAATACATATAAATTCTATATGGGCATTAAATATTTCTGAAGTTAAAACTATAACCGTATCAGAATAATAAAAATTCAATCTTACCTTTCTCAGGAGTAATTATGATTCTTAAAACTGAAATATTTCACTAGGGAAAAAAATGGCTTTATAGCTGCTCTTTGACCAAATATAATTTTACAAAATAGAAGGCAAAATTGACTTTCTATCCCTTATAGCTCTCTAAAACTCAAAGACCATTGTGCATGAGATATTGTGTCCCCAAGATAATACAGGATGCCATTTTGTGTTTGAAATGATATGGTTGTCTATAAAACCTCAAATATCTATTGTTATTTTACTCTGTCTTTGGGGTTATACTTGGGATAAATTTATGAGTAAACATTTAGCAAAACAGCTTATAAAATAACAGATGGTTTTGATGAACAGCATATCAAGTTTTTAATTGCACAGTAGAATAATTTGATCACAAATTTTATTCCATTGATATATTTTTTGTAATATGACAAAATTAGTGCATCCCTCTGATTTATGTGATGTATTTCTATCTTCTTCACCTGTTGTTGTTGTTATGTGCTGTCGAGTCGCTTGTGACTCATAGCGACCCTATGTACAACAGCCCTAAACTCCGCTCTGCCCTGTGCCAATCGCACTGTC